CATATTTTTTCAGGATGCCACACTTTGTATATAGTTTCTAAGATCATTTTGTTTACTAGTCAATGTAAAGAATATATTGTGACAAAGTTCCTCCTTTGCCTTTGTGGGTCCTGCGCTTATTGGCGGATTTGCTTGCTTCAGAGATTCACGGCACGCCTCAGTTTGGCCACTTTTGCTAGGGGCTCAAACCTGCTATCCACTCAGCTAACCTCATCACTGGGCAGCATGGGGGAAACAGAGAACAATCCCCGCAGTCTCTGTATCCCACCTAGTGGGTTGGGGACAGGCCAGATCCCTTTCCAATTTAGACCTTCCCTTCTAGTGTTTCTCACAGACCAGGTCAACTCCTCCTGTGTCCGATCAGGAGTTGGGGGGGATGGGGGGATCCCGGGTGCACCCTCTACACCGGGTTCCAGCCCAGGGCCCTGTGGATAGCAGCTGTCTACAATGTTCCCTGTATCAGCTGTGTGACAGCTACAACTCCCTGGGCTACTTCCCCATGGCCTTCCCCCAGCACCTTCTTTATCTTCGCTGCAGGATCTTCCTCCTGAAGCCTGATCACGGCTTGAACTCTTCAGTCCTGCAGAAGCACGCCTTCTCACTCCCTGCTCCTTGTGCACTCCCCTACTAACTGATGGGAGGTCCTTTTTAAACCAGGTGTCCAGATTAGCCTGCCAGCCATAACTGATTCTAGAAAGTTCTTAATTGACTCTAGGTGTCTTGATTAGCTTGCCCGTCTTAATTGGTTCTAGCAGGTTCCTGATTGCTCTAGGGCAGCCCCTGCTCTGGTCGCTCAGGGAACAGAAAACTGTTTATCCAGTGGCCAGTATATTTGCCTTCTACCAGACTCCTGTACCCAAACTGGTCTGGGTCTGTCACAATATGTATATGGCAGAAATATGATATTTTCAGAATTAATGTTCAGAAATGGTATTTTTTTGAATTGGTGCAGTTTTTCCCTTTCAGTAAATCACCAACTTACCAATGATAAGGCAGTTAGTTCATTTAGAAGGAATCTGTATTTAAGAATTGGAAGAATATCTGTTTAAAAAGAAGGTAACAGAACCAATGCGGTCTAGCTGGCAAGAGCTCAATTAATATTTGTTTGGTACTTTGAAACTTTACAGCACTAAGTCCTAACTAAAGAGTTGATTCATCCTCACTGGCAAAGGTCTCACAAACCGCACCCTCCTGCACCAGCAAGGGACCCTGTTCCCTGGGAAGAGAGGCATTCTTGTGCCTCCTCCCTCCTGCCGGGACTGGTCTAGGGAAAGATATCTTTAAACTGACGATGCAGCTCCACAGGATCCCTGCCACTGCAGAATGTCAAGGGCATATAATGAGTGCCCTGGCTCTACCTCCTCACTACCAGCTTTTCAGTCTACTTATCGGGCTTCAACATGCAGAACCGTTTTGTGCACACTGAGTTTTATGAAATGTTGCATGAAAATTACATCTGCATGTAGCAGAGGCATAAATATAAGCAGGCTCTGTGGCATGATTGCTGCTTTAAAGAAGTTCCATATATTTATCCTAGATAAAGCAGTACGGTAAAGACACAGTGCTATATTTTTCCATATCCTTTTTACGTTTTAATTTATTTATTGCTGCAGCTCCCCAGGAGGATTCAGATCAAAACATTCAAGTTCACCAACGTACACCATCCTGTTTTTATTTTTGGTTATGCCTCTTCTCATACAAGCGGTCAATGGATGCTTTTATTTTTATCACTAGTGCTGGATTTTGAAGTGGGGGTTTCTTAAAGGTACAGCATAGGGGGAAAACATTAGTGGATGAATACAGTTAACATCAGAACTTCCCTACTTGTCCGGATGTAGTTTAACTTAATCTAATCTGACAGAAAGTGGCATGCTGGCAAACTGATGCGTTTCGCTATCCAAAGCAGACACATTATTTTGACCGGAACCAACTCATACATTTCTTGTGGACCCAGGAATGTCAATGTTAACAGCTTTTAAAAGTCCAGCCTTCTACTCCTTTGAGGGAAATATTATCCCTCATTAGCTCAACAGGATTTATTTTAACGTCAGCCCTTGCATCTGCACAAAGTGGAAAGAAGGGAGGAATCTAACCTGGGAACAGAGTTTTTAAATTTTACAAAGAAATAAAAGCCCTGTTTCAGATGGATCCTCTCTATTTTGTGGATGGGTGAAAGTCACTTTCTCCTTGTAACAAAGCCGAGCCCCGCCCCCCAAGCATTAGCACATACTTACTGAACTGATTTCCCTAGCAATGATTTTAGCACAAAGAGGTGAAGTGATTTTCACATAAATTAACAAAGCTGAGAATTGTTACCCCTTTCTCTTGTAAGTGACTATTAAAAATATATTTTGGATAGGAAAGAGAAAAGGAAAAGCAAAATACATAACAAATAAAAGAATAACTGTAAAATATATTAAGAATATGATTCTTATCTCAATGTACTTGGGATTTACGTGTGTGAGCCAGACACTCGTATTAATGGGTCAAACTTGTGCCTCAAACTGAAAATATTGTGAATAAAATAGCAATATACCAAATTTCTTGTAGTATGGGAAATACTAAAATATTTTTCTGTGCCACCCAAAATACATCTATATCTCATTTTCTTCTATTCCTCTACCCACAGCCTAAGCACCACCCATGCAGCTCTTTTTAATACCATATTTGTGGCTTTCTCTCAATCTCAGATTTGTATATCCCTTAATGGCCAACAAATACCACTACTGCTCTTTCCTCAGCTCTCTCCTAAAATTATTACTTCCACAAAGCCCATCAATATCAATTCATCAGATCAAGATGTGTGATTACAAAAAGATACATGTACTGCTTAGAGATTAGACTATCTACTGCTCACTTGTCTTCTGTTATATTATGCATCTGAACATTGTCTGTGTAATTTAGAATATAAGATCCTTAAGTCACATCATATATTATTTATAAGAACAGCTAAGTTTCTAAAGCCCAAGAGTCTACTTTTCTGCTCCTACTGTCAAGTTACTTTGCATATTTACTAGGATGTTTTACTCATGCATATCATTTTTATTCTAAAACTTTGATTAAGAGGTAGCTAATTAAACTTGGTACTTTAAATCTGTAAAGAGTTTAGGATAGTGAGAAATGTAAATAGACAATAAACAAAACATGGCTCACATCACATAATACATTATATGAATTTTTCAGCTTTTTGAGGTCTTGTATCTTTAGGAATCTCATTGGAGTCCTCTTTAAGTGAAATTCTATTATGAAAAAGCCCAACTGCACTATTTATGAAGAAATTTAAAGCAAAAACTAAGACCTAAACTACATTAACTGCAAACTTTTAGCTGTTTCCATGTGTGGATTTGAAATAAGTGAAAAGAAGAGTAGTCTTTATAAATGTTCAAATTAAAGAGAGCGCTTTAATGCTTTAAGTAAAAATACTATGCAGCACACAACAAAGTAGATTGGAGAAGCTTTTCTACCTTGATAAGAATTTATTGGTGTATAATATAGGGCCATATCCTAGTACACAGGTAGTTAATGGGATGTTTGCAATTTTCTCCCAACATATTAAAAAAGAAGCAAAAGGAAGTTCTATGGCCTGTGTTATACAGAAGGTCAGACTTGATGCCAGTGGTCTCTTCTAATCTTGGAATCTATAAACCTATGAAAAAGAAGGATTTTAGGCTGCTTAAGAATCTGTTTTAAAAATACTTTTCTCTTTTTTCTCCCTCTAGGTTATGAGAATTCATACGATTGCCTAAGCTGGCCTCTAGATGGTACAAAAGAACTTACACCTAGGAATCTTTTCTGATATACATGTGAAGATTTATGTTCCCTGCACCATGTGGCTACTTAGATCATCCTCCTAAAATCAGCAATCCCAACGTTACAAAATGTAGCTGTGGAATAAATAAAATGTCGAAAAATATAAGTGCCAGAAACTGAACGTAACGTGCCAATGTACTTAACATACCAACTGTTATACGAAAACAGTTACATATACAGTTGTGAGACTCTATTTTTCACTTGTTTTAACGAATTGCTTTGAGACAAAAAATGATTAATACTGGCTCATCAAGTGTTCTTTCATTTTCAATTTAAAATAGCTTAAAGTAACATGAAACTTACTACAGACAACATGAACATTAAAGAGTTAAATTAAATTTAATTCAATTAAATATAGTGGCCCCAAGCATTATTTATCATAAAGGAAATCTGAGGTCACAACCCAGTGGAACACATACTAACCAATAAAATACTCCCATGACTTCATATACTTTCGATTTTTTTTTAAAAAGATTTCTTCTTGTATGTTTTACATCCAATAGATATTTATTACAGAGGCGCTGTGTGGAAACTTCAGACACCAACATGTTACATTTTGATCCAAGCATTTTGATCCAAGCATGAGCATAGAACTGGTGTGTGGTGTATTAACACAGGATACACCTCTATATTTTTGAAGGTCAGGAAGGGTTCATGCTATTTGCCTAATATTATGCAAAGTAGGCATGATCCTCAACCTCCTGGCAAGTTGTCAAAGTAGCCTTCAGTTCAAAGTAAGCGCACTGACAATGACAATAATGTACGCACACTCTTTACCAATCAAGAGGTGGTAATGTTGTATTTTATATCTTCTTGTTGCCACTGCCACAAACGTGTGTGTATGTTCTGGGTGATGTACTGCCATTCCCTTAGTCTGTGGGTCATCATATCTTCTGGATTTCTCTGTCTTCTTATCTTTTTAGCCAGAAAACCTCTCTCTTTCCCACTGAGGATTACTCCTGCCTAAAAAGGCTCATTGTTGTCATCTCTCACACAGAGAAGCCTCTAGGGCCAATCCAGTTTACTTCATGCTTTGACTCTCAAAGTCTGATGGATTTTCCTAGCATTACACATATTTTCCTAGAATTATGTTAAATTATTTGTAATGTGGAAGAGCAATTCCAACAACATCTATCATCAGAAAAGTGCACCACTTGTCTATAATTAAACAATGCAGACAGGTCTCTTACCTTGCATAGTAGTCCTTTGGGGGAACAACTTCCTGAAAGAATTGTAACTGGTACAGATAAAGTCCAATCAAGTGCCCCGCACTGTATATAGCCATTAATACACACAGACAGCTGAATATCAGCGGATCAAATGCTAGGCAACAGGACCACCAGGTGCACAGCCCCAAAAATACAAAGAAATACACAGCTGATGTCAAAGATGGCAACATCATACCTGCAAAAACAAATATTGAGGATACTTTGAGAATATTAGTGTTAAAAACATTTATTAATCCTAAAACATTATGTAGTTTATCAAAACAATTTCAAAATCACATTTCTGTTTTGATAGTTTTTACTTATTATAGGTAATGCTAAGACTGCTATTAACTGAAAAATGCCATAAAACACGTACATATTTTTTTCATTTTGCTTATTCTATGAAAAAACAACACTTGGTATGTAGCTAAATTTAGAAGGATTAGATTTATATTAGTAAATGTTGATTTCATACCGATGAAAAAATATTTCCATCAGTACTAATAGAAATTTACAGATAAGCAGAGTAAGAAAAATGCTGCTTGATAACTTATTAGAGTTTGATGTATTTTGACATGTGATGTTGATAATTTGTGTTTAATGGTTATAAAGCTTTAACTTTTTGAATCTCAACATCTACTGTAATTAAAGAATTATAAAATCAAATTCTGCCATGCCTATATATAGTTAATTTCAATATTTCCTCTGAGTACTTCCTGTCCCTAGTTTGTGCAGCTCCTTCCCACAGTAAAAGGGGAGAGAAAAACAAGAATTTGTGATCATAAACCCCCAAATCAGCAGTGAGACGCAGAGATAGGTACTGTACCTGAAAATACTTTTAACTTTTTTTAAAAAATTGTTAGATTTCAAGTTAACATTTCTGTAAAATAATCAGTAGGATAATAAAATACTATGATTAATTAATATGGTGTGAAAGTTTCCCATGTAATCATTGAATTTCTAATCACTAGAAATTTGTGTCCCAGTCAGTGAGATACTGTGTACACTGGAAATAAAAGAGCATCTACAATATATCCAGTACATGCGGTCTATGTAAGTGCCAAATATGGATGAAAAGTAATCCAATTTATATCTCATAAATATTTGTAATACTTAGTGTATACCAAGGGCTGTCTTGTATCCTACGTAGATTTTCTTTTACACACTTAAACAACATTTCATTTGTGAAGTTGCTATTTTCACTCTTCACAGCTGGAGAACATCTCATGAAACGCCTACTGTACCCTGTAAGAGGGGTATTTGAGGAGGTGGGGATGGGGAGATGCTCATATCTAAGATGCAGGAAACTGGAGGAAGTGACATAAGAAACTTTCATCCTACATAATGTGCCAAAGGCATCACCAAAGCAACTCCACTGAAGTCGATGGAATCACACTAGGGATGAATCCGGCCCATTTTGCTTCAAAAATCTTGACAATTGCATACTTGAATGGAAGGTGGATACAACCCAAGAGATCTGGGGCTCATTCATCTGAGTCTGGGTAGTCATCCTCCAGCAGAGTGGCCTGCTGTGCCTCAGAAAGATCCAGGTCTTGGTGCACTGGTTCTCAAACTTTTGTACTGGTGACCTCTTTCACATAGAAAGCCTCTGAGTGTGACCCCTCCTTATAAATTAAAAATACTTTTTATATATTTAACACCATTATAAATGCTGAAGGCAAAGAGGGGTTTGGGGTGGAGGCTGAAAGCTTGCGACCCCCCATGTAAGAACCTTGTGACCCCCTGAAGGGTCCCAATCCCCAGTTTGAGAACCCCTGCCTTGGTGGATGCAGCTTTAAACTGTGTTTGGAGTTCTACAATCAGACAGAAGCCACTTGATGGATGGGATGAATCAATGCATTCACCGGCCAGTGTGCTCTCCTGGCCAGCTCCACTCACTCCTGGGTGATGATGTCTCCCTTTCAGCTCCCAAGCTGAGTAGGGTTGTGAACTCTTTACACTGATGAAAATCCCCACTTCCTGTTGTGCTTCAGCTGACCAGGGTCTTTCATCCTGGGTTATGTTAGCAGAAGCTAGCATAAACCTGGGGTGCCTGCAGCCCTTCACTGCTGAGGTGTAGGACACACAGTATTGTACATACTAAAGTTAGCTTTATATATCTGTGCTAAAAGAACCTTCCACTAACAGTAAATTGGTCTGTGTTGTATTAGCATAATCACAGGCTTGTACGCGGTACTTTAGGCCAAGCTATTGTCTCTCCTCCAGTATATAATCTGTGAGTATGTACCATTTTCATGATTCATATATTTAAAGGTCAGAAGGTTCCCTTATGATCATCTAGTCTGACCTCATGCAAAACAGAGGCCACAGAAACTCATCCAATCTGCATCAAGCCTATAACACTGTTCTTTCTTTTAAATAGATATCCAGTCTTGATTTAGTCTTCAGTGATGGAGAATCTACCACATTCATAGGTAAATTTTGAGAATAGCAGCTGTGTTAGTCTGTATCCACAAAAAGAAAAGGAGGACTTGTGGCACCTTAGAGACTAACAAATTTATTTGAGCATAAGCTTTCGTGAGCTACAGCTCACTTCCAATTGCTCATTACTCTTGCTCTTAAAAAATTTCACTTTTTTCTAGCCTGACGTTGTCTAGTTTTAGTTTGCAACTATTATGCCTTTTTCTGCTAGATTAAAAAAATGTCTACTATCAGAAAAAAACTTTTCCCTTGGCAGGTACTTTCAGACTGTGATCAATTCACCTTTTAACCTCCCTCCCCCAACTAAACAGATTGAGCTTATTAAATCTCGCACTATAAGACATCTTTTCCAGACCTCAAATCATTCTTATAGCTCTTTTCTAAGTCCTCTTTGATTTTTCAACATCCTTTTTGAAGTGCAGACACGAGAACAGGAAACAGTGCTACACCGATGTTCTCACTAATTCCAAATACCGAAGGAATATCACCTCTGAACTCCTCCTTTATATTCTTTGCTTATATATCCCTAGAATGCATTTGCCCTCTTAGCTAAAGCATCGCATTGGAAACTCATGTTCATTTGGTTATCTACCATGAATCTGAAGTCCTTTTCCATGTCTTTGCATTCCAAGATATAGTCTCCCATCTTTTAGGTGTGACCTACATTCTATGTTCCTAGATTTGGCTTCATTAAAATACATGTTATCCAAATAAGCCCACTTTACCAAGTGATCCAGATTGGTCTGCGTAACTAACCTGTCCCCATCACGATTTACCACTTCCCACTGTTTTTGACAATCTGCTGCAAATTTCACCAGAAATTTTATACTTAATTCTGTCTTATTCTTTGATAAAGACATTGAATAGCATTGGGAGTACAGACTCTTGCAGGACCCCACTAGAAACATCGCCCTAGGATGATGTTTCCTCATTTACAATTACTTTTCATGATCCATCAGTTAATCAGTTTTTAATCCATTTAATATGGATTACATTAATTTTATATAGTTCTATTTATTAATCAGATGTCATGCAGGAGTATGTTGAATGCCCTACAGAAGTCTATTATGTCACTAGTGTTACCTTTATCAACCAATTTTGTAATTTCATAAAAAAAAATCAAATTTGAACATTTTTTATTACAGAATGTATAACAAACCAGTAAATAAAGAGTAGCAATGTTTTGTTTTGTGTATGTTTAATATTGTGTGATGTGCAGGTGTGTGACATGTGAGACGTGTGTGAGTGTGAGTGAGTCAGTGTGAGTGTGCGTTAGTAGAAGGAGCTAGCACCTAGTCTATTAATGCACATTCCACTTCTTACCTACAACATGTAGCCTTTCACAGTTTGGCCATAATAATAGCTTTAAAATTAACATATGCAATGAGTGGACCGCTTAGTACTAGCACCAAAATAAATAAATAAATAAATGAAATTAAGCAACTCAGTGTAATTCCATGCCTGCCAAAAGCTAATTTAAATAAAAATCAGCAGAAATTAATTTTCCTTCCAAATTTCCATTTTTATTCCCCAGTGTGCCAAAGTGCTGAAAATTCATTTGTACAATGCATAATCTCAGGGACTCTTGATGAATTTATCAAAAGCACCAACCTGTTGAACCAAGTAAAATTGTAACAACAACTTTTCCAGCGGTGGTTATAATGTTTCCAATAAACTCTTTCAGTTTGGAAGCCAGTGAGGCAATTCTGCGCAGTAGTTTTAATTTTGTGGTTTCTTCAAATTCCTCTTCGCTATTTTCTCCACCATCCAAATCCTCACATATCAATGCATCATCTGGCTCTAACTTTTCTCTTCCAGCCTTAGAAAGAGAGAGAAAACAATGTGAGATGAAACAAGGGACTTGTGTCATATAGGTTATTTGTCAAGTCTTTTTTATAGTGACTGACTCTATAATCACAAAATAATCCAAATAAAGAGTTGTGAAAGGTATATTAGAAGTCCATTTGGATATCTAAGGCTACCACCTTAGACTTGTCTGAAAAGAAAGAGATGAAAAATATTTGAGAGTGAGATTTTCCCTGGCAAATGCAATCCAGCTGGTTCCTCTGGCAGCTAGCAGGTAATTCCAGTTCTACATGTCTCTATTCAAAATTATGACCACTCAACATTCTGCCAGGTTTGTTGATTAGATTTTGTTAAGTCCCTTTGAGACACAGATCATTATTATTATTTCCAGGTCCAGACCAAAGGTGACTCCCTACCAGATGATGTTCCTCAGGGTAACCTCCTTCTTGGGATCATTACCATTCCCTATTGCAGGTTCTTTCCTCCCCCCTGCTTACGAACCCAGAGTTTATCAATTGGATGGAAGGGTGTGTTAGCTGCCTTTTCCTTGATCTTTCCATGGATTAGTTAGCAAGAGGCACTGGCACGACGAACAGCCATGACAACTATCAGTAGCATGCCTGGACTCAGAAATCAAAAAATCTAGGCCTTCTTCCAAACCTAGATTTGCTTCATTATATCAAATAGTGCTACTATCAAGGCTAGTTTTCATAGAGAAAGAGAAAGAGAATTCTATATATGTCATTCTAGTATGGATGTGGCTATAAATGTGACTCTCTAAAAGAGATTAATACCAGTGTGCTATTAGTATAAATGCAAAAAGAGATCACAGATAGAAACATTACAATAAACAAGCTTTCTTGTTTCTTCAATATATCCACTGATTGCACTATGTTACTCAAACCTGACTGAGTCAAATTCACCAAAAGAGTGTCTCAGTTGGTCCCCACATCCCCATTCTATTTTGTTTCTGTAATGTTACACTATCAATTTATCCAGCTACAAATGGGTTTACTGAGGAGGCCCAGCATGTGGGACTGGTATTCAGGTAACAATTCCCACCGACAGGGAAGAGAAAGAGATGGAGAGAATCCCAGCAACAGGGAACGAGAGAAGAAAGCGAAGTGTGCATGTGTTTGGGACAGGGGAATAGAATGAAAGAGCTGTGAGGAAGGTGATAGCTCAGGATGGATGGATGGATGAAAAGACTGGGAGGGAAAGAGATGTACCACTCAAACTCAAAGAAAGGTGGAAGCCTGGAAGGATGAGAGAGAGGGAGAGAATGTGAGAAAGAAAGATGGTGAAGAAACAAATAATACAAGGGACAGAAAGACAAATTTGAAAAATGTTAAGTAGCAATTAAACAATGAAAATGGGAGGGAAAGGGGAATTAAATAATGAAAAAAAGAGAAAGAAGAAGAAGAAAACCAGAAAAGACACACCCAATAGGTAAGTAATTTGTTAGGACTTAATGGTGCCCTGGTCCAGGGAAAAAAATTTAACAATAAATGGGCCAGATCTTCACCTTGTGTAACTTGGCATAGTTCCATTTGTTTCACTGGAGTGACTCAGAATTAAACCAGCTGAGCATCTGACCCAAATACTTTCTTTTTGATAGGTAGGGGCACGTGTGAGTATTATATCTGTAATGACTTTTCAAGAGAACAACGTATTTATTGCAGCCATTGGAAATGACAAATTAGACAGCATTGATTGGGAGGCTTCCAGTGGCAATTGCAGAACTGTTATCCTTCTGAGTATTTAACTGTACAGAATACTTCATTACAATTTTGTTAGGTGGATTCCCCGAGGAAAAGAAACTCCCTCTTGTTCCATTTCACCTTTAAACTTTGTGCCAACTTTCTCTTCCCATTAATATTGTCTGTGACTGCCCAGAAAAAGCTTGTTCCATCTAGAGTTTCTATTTTGCAGACAATTAAATATGTATTAAATGCCGTAGAGCTGGTCTGGGAAATCCTCCTCTCTCTCAGACACATCCGGCTGTTTCACTAATTACGTCCATGATAAGTGGAGTGCGCTGGCGTCACAACCACCTTGTCATCTTCACAGTTCATTTTCATGGCTTTCAACAAACAAGGTTAATAGCTCTAGAAGCAAGACAATCATTAGGAGGTTGCAATGTGCACACCCAGTAAACACTTCGGGGGGGGGGGGAAGGGCTAGCATGGAGAGGAATTACTATTGTCTGCTGCCCTTGCTAGAGCTCATGTCTAGAGAGCTCTCTAGTTGATGCTACTTTACTTAAATAATTAACCACAAAACAATGCTAAATGCAGTTCAGCTAAATGCTGCATAATATTCTTCCTATCACCCTATCAAAGGGAAAAACACAGGAAAAAGAGTGCAATGACACCTTCCTATGTACTACAATTACTAGAAGAACTTCTTATTTAGCCCCGTTGGGTCCAGTCCTGTGTTTCCAAGCCAACTGTAGCTCTAACTACATTTCTTGTTTAACATGATCATTAAACAGCTAACTCTTATGTGCATGCAAAAAACAAAGAAATCAGTGGAAGTTCTGGATCTTCAGGGATGTGGGATTGAGCTTTTAGTGTGCACGGACCTATATAAAGGAGAACATCTTCAGCTCTTCCATTTATTTATCTGTATCTATGGAGATACTGTTTACAACAAAAATAAAAAGATAATTTCAAAGTAACTGCTATTATAAAGGAGACTGGCAGATGTTCGATATAAATGACAATGTGGATTAAAACAATGAGCTCAAGTGGAAACTTTGAAAACAGATTTTGTTTGTATATATACAAATTATGCTTTCTACTAGAGATTGGCATGTCCAGTAATTGGAGCACAGACCTTTGGGCTAAGAACTCCCAATGTCTAATCCCAGCCTGGAGAGTGACTCCCTTGGTGGACTTAATTTATGTTCTTAAAGAATGTTCTTAATTTATCTTCCTTACTTACCCCATCTGTAAATGTTGATAGTATTTAGCTACCACACACAGGAGTTTATTAAGGACATATTTGCTAGTTCTCAGGCTAGATTTTCCAAGAAGTTGCAAGCTGAATCATAACATCCCCTGGCCATGCTGGCAAAATCGGTACCTGAGCAGAGCAGCACTCTTCTAGGAGACCAGAATGACAGACATTTTCTTCTGCTAGGCAGAATTTGGCATAGATGGATCTGCATAGATGAATGTGCGTAAAATGCCTTGAATATAAAAATCATTACAGAAATGTAATTGCTAGGAGTCTATATTAAATAGGAAGTCTATATTATTTTAAAACAATAATGATGACTTAATATCCTGAGTCAGCGCTTCACATATGTGCAAGAGCTGGAAATATAAACTGAAGACAGAGAAAAAACACAAAATCAAACCCCCCACCCAAAAAAACCCCAAAACCCTTACCCTGAAGGGAACAGAAAAATGAATTTAAAAACTGGTCTTGGGGGGATAAAATGAAAATTTAAATAGTATTAAACAAACGGCAGGAAATACACAAGATGGAAAAAAGGGAAAAGAAGGGAGGTAAAAAGAAATAAAAGGAAAAAAACAAGGGTGACAAGTAAGGAAAAGAAGGGAAGTTGCTTTGTTGCACAAATGGTGGAGCAGAAACCCTTTTTCTCTCTTCCAACCCATCTCAGCTGCTAAACTCATCCTATGCATATCTTCGTAATTCTTTCCAAAAATAGCCTTTTGGTTTCCCTACAACACAATAGGGATCCTGGTTTTTCCACTTTGAGAGTCTGCTCACCCTAGTTTAGCTCCCCATAGTTCTAGTCAATCTGATGCACATTCTGTCTTACTCCCCTTTAGTCTGGGTGTTGGGGTGTTTGTCAGGGTGGAGGGGGGGAGAACCACTCGGAAGAAGAGTCTTTCTGGACTTACCAGTCCCTGCTTACCAGTCTCAATTAACATCTCACATATTGTTTATAATGACAACTCTGAAGCTTCTATTGTTGCTTTCTCAAATAAAAATGGAAGTAATCACTGAGGTTGGGATAGGTTGGGCACAACGTGAATGGACTAAGGATTTTGACTTTCACCTGGTGATAACCTGTCTGTTGTTCCAACAGTTTTTGATGCATATGCTGGACATGCTCATCATAAAACAGCATTATTCAAGGCAGACTGTTTTGCAAAGCCTTCACGCCACATGGGTCAGCCTGAGACTACAAACCAATGCTGCATAGAACATAGTTAGAAAAATACTTTTACTTCCATAATAAATTACTTATTATGCAACTACAGAATCCCTGTGGCTGCCGATTAAATCACATAAACCCCTCCATTCAACTAGTATATAACATTTTTTGAGTCATAAAAATGTGTTTCCGTGGCCTTTTCTATGTAGAATGGGGCCCCATGACTTTTTTATAAACAGACTAAATGTAGTTTAAGTTTTTCAACTTTGTGCAAGTCCCAGGAGTGTTCACTGTACAACACTTTTAAAAACTGCCAAACAGAGATAAAGCACAGGCAGAGAAACAGTCTTGCCTCTGTGGCAGCTACTATCATGACTAGGGCCAGAATATCCATTAGCTACTTTTGGGGACTGCTTTAATAAAATCTAGCTTTTACATGTTTCATCTGGTACAGTATAAACACTAATGCACTGAGATATCCTAGGCCCCATAAATGTATTTACTAACAGGCAGCCTTAGTCTCAATTTAAATTCATTCTTGCACCGGAAAACCTTTTCGTAGTGTACCTACAACTAAGGATACTAGATCTGTAAATAAACGGAATAGTCATTCAGTGACTTTTGGACACTAGAAAGGACAGGAATCTAAACCTTTAAAAATCTCATGGTTGTCATCATTTCAATTTTTACTAACCAGAGATGTTATAGGAGACATAGGTGGATCTCAAAAGGTTCTGTGGCTCAGAATGGGAAAAAAAACCCTCCAAAGTTTGCCAATATATTACACTATTTGACTTTTTGATCTGTTTAATGGCACTGGAAAGCTCACAAGAATAGTCTCTCATGAGAGTTCAGGTGCTTCCTCCTTCAAGTTAGATCAC